TGGCATACATATATATACATATATATATATATATGTGTGTGTGTGTGTGTGTGTGTGTGTACACGTACATATGCAACTTATGTATGTACAAACGATATAGACATGCGACCTAGATCTACATTTATCTGAAGAAACCGTGCTATTTAGAAGGGCATAGCGGGTGCGCAAACGATCCTTGCAAAAGCACTACAATACGCGTATAATAGCTAAAGAATAAAGTACGATTCAAAATGAAAATAGCTAAGCAGCAAGGCAGGTAAGGAGTCCGCCATTCCGACGCTTTTGCATCCCAAAGCACACATACCAACAAGAAATTTATCCATCTACATACTTTCAAATAAGGCAAAATTCGTATACATAGGCGTTGTATGCCCAGTTAGCTCGCACACTCTAATAAATAGTACCTGTGCCGCTTTAGCCCCTATAGACCGGAGCATCGATCCAAAGCCTCCCTTCCCTCCCTTTAAGGCTCCCCCTCTTAGCTTTATAGCAGCCGTATGAAAAGATTCGCCAGCGACATTCAGCAGGGTACCATCAGCTACACGCACACCATTCCACACAATCTGCTGCAGCTCTGAGGGAATACGCCAAAGGCTCTCTAGGCGATTCCTGAGATCTCGCTCGTTCACCACGGCCTCTGCTACAGGCAAGCATGAGGTTTCTAAACCATCGAACGATACTAGTACGGACCGCATGTTTATGGTTGTGGTTGTGATTTATGGCTGTTGAGCGTTGCTGTGCGGATGAAGTATGTAGAAGTGAATGTGTGCAGTGACTGCGAATACGAGCACGAATACCAATACGAGGCCTTGCGGTGTATGATTCCAGAGTCTCGCCGCGCAAACTATTCGTATGTGTACGAGTCTATAATTTTATATACGAGATATGCCCCTTTTAAAAAACCCACCTTCGTTGCGACTTGCGTAGTTGCGACTTGCGTGTGATGTAAATAGTAAAAATACTCTCACTGCCACAGTCTCACATTGACGTGATGTAAAGACCAGTTTTTGTGTCCAGTTTAAAACCTATTTTATGTGTAACAGCCATTTTTATATATATATATAAACAATATCAAAATATAGATGGCACCATTCGCATTTTTACATACATATTTACCACATTTAGTACTAAATACCAACGTACATAAAAAAATATATGCCCTGTATTTTTTTTTAGTATTTTTACTTCAGAACCCTCTACATACTCTCTCTACTATTTATATATTTTACGTCTACTACGTATGTATTGTTGTATTTATCAGTACATATTTCAAAAGACTACTCTCTCAAAAGACTACTCTCTCTACTACTACTCTACTACTATTCACTAATTACTACTACTCTACTACTATTACTAATTACTACTACTAGTAGAGTAGAGTATTTAGTAAATAGTAGAGAGAGAGAGAAAAAAAAAATGTAGGTTGACGCCTGATGCGAGATTGACGGACAAAAAGTCCCCCGCACTCCGAGTCGATTTGCCAATTGCTGACTCTTCAACAGGTCACTCTTTGGTCTATTTTTAGAATCGATTTTTTTCCCAGATAAAAAAAAGAGCATGTGCCAGTAGCCGTTGCTGAAGAATAAAAAACCTCTTCTTCTGTGGGCCCCGTCCACGGTCCCCCGATTTTGGGGTGGTTTTTTCTGACAATCGCATGCAGTATGCACCACAACTTGAAAAGAAAGCTATAAATATAAAAATCAAAAATGATTCGCCCTAAATTAACGAAGCTATTTATATAACCTCAATTCGTTTTAATGTTTTTTTGTATATAAAAAAGAGAAAAGGACCAATTAAAATAGTTTAACGTAAACGCTTATTTGCTCCATTTGAATAAACAATATAACGTTTATGCAGTTATATATATAAAATGACTTGACAAAACCGACCAATTGTACCCATTTAACGGACACATTATAGCGAAACTTCTAGAAACTTTCAACCTCGGGACTTCGGACATGCACCCGTAGGAACAAGCTTAGGGATTTCGCGATATAAACCTAAAAATATTCGTATTGATTTCAGGCCTCAAGTTATGGACTCGCGCAAGTCGCAGGCACGCAGCTCCAAGACTCCCCACTCCCAGTCGCATCACAAAATATTTACATCTACGTAAATATATATATATATATATTATTTCTATATACACATGATGCAAACGAATCAGTAGAACAAAACATATACATATACATCATGATGCAAACGAATCAGTAGAACAAAACATATACATATACATACATACACGTACACTATACACTTAAATACTACACATATATATAATACGACGGTAACATATTTTCATTTAGTAGTAATCATGTCCATCGCAGCACTTTCACACAAACGGGCTTTTGACTGGGATCAGTCCAGGGAAAACCATGCCTATTCGCCGTGCAGAATAGAGAAGAAGGTAAAGCTTTCGGGCGATCAGACGGCAAATAGTTATAATAACAACAGGGTCAATAACGAGTACAGTCCCAGCGATACATGCTTTAAAACACAGAGCCCTCAAGGTAAGCCACATTTTGTCGTACTGATATATGCGTTTCGATACCAATCACTTGTGTCATACATCATCAGGGCCTGCTGGCTTGTGAGTAGTACGGTCATGTTTTGCCGTATGTTGGCATTAGAGAATCAATGATTATTCCTCTTCTTGTGTCTGTTTCTTTTACCCGTATGTGATTAGATCTGCGGAGAATTGTGTCGGTCTAGACTTCGAATCTGATGTTGAGATAGAATGCGCTACTTGTCTTAAACTATTTGTTCCATTTTATTTTTTGTAGCTGCGTCTGTTCTCCGTTGTAATTGTGATTGCTATTGCCTTCCTGTGCGGTCTCAGGGTAGTCGATATCATGTGCTAGGTACACTGTAAGCCTTAAGATTGTGAGATTAGTAGTACGTATGTTTTAATCATAGTGTTTGCGTCCCTGTTTATTTCGGATGTATTTAGTCATCGAATCCTACGAGTCTTTTATTAGCAGCCTGGTTTATTTATACTTGCGCCATATCAATATATACTCATATGTATACCCGTGTCGTTGCCCATCGTTTCAGTCAATGTGGAAAGGATACACGGAAAACATACAAAGAACAGAAGATTACGGCACGCTGGTTCAGACAACATATCGGAGCTAGCGACAGAGACGTCTCAGAGACGACCCACATCGCCCAGATCAAGTAATGAAGTAATGTATACGATCGACCAAGTTAAAAGCATTGTTTCGAAGGCTCTGGAAGAACGTGAGGTACAACTGCGAGCGCAATACGACAACATCCTTCAAGAAAAACTGCTCGAGCAATTCAACGAGTTCTCGCGATTCAACCAGGATAACATACACAAGATATTGTCGGAGTCGACCTATTCATGTAAGTAGTATTTTTCAGTTTCAGTCGAATTTTGTTTGTATTGCAGTCTTTGGAGTGTGTTACTAGTGTGCTCTGCTTGAATTATAATGTCTCAAATGACCCTGAACTAAACTTGTCGCTGCAACTTAATTCTAAACAGACATGTGCTAGATTGCACCACCTCCAGAAGTATCACTTCAGTTGATAAATACTCCCTGAAGATAAAATGGGCGAGGTATTGAATCCGTGTCCTCATACGTTGCCTCTGCTTCCCAAGACTCAAAAAAATGCAAACGCAGTAGACTATTAATCCTGCACTTGCGAGAAAAATAAATAGTTTCGGTATTTTCAGCCTGAGCCTTAAGCCGTGCGCCTTCTTCTGTTAAGTTGTGTGTGGATTCGTATATAGATTCCAGTAGTAGTCAATATTAGCATAGACTGTCACACAATATACTTCCACTCGATATATTGTCTACTTGCGAATTATTTTCTACGATAGACCTGGTTAAAATACAACTACATTTTCCCCGTGTGTACATAGCTTAAAAGATGTATAAATTCTTGCCATAACTTTCAAAAGTAGTTCGATTCTTCTGATGACCAATAAAATGGTTTTAATCAATTTGGCACTCCACAACTTTTAAAAGTTGAACACGGTCCTATTTACCTGCAGTTAAAGAGCAAATTGATTTCGTTTGATATGCAGTCCTGTATATCTGTCTGTATAAACATGTATAAGTATATATATATATATATCTATATATATTTTTGTTTATCTATATATGTATATGTATATATTACACTTATATATATATGTGTGTGTGTGTGTTGATTTATGTATTATATATATGTGTGTGTAAGTATGTATGTATTTGTGTATATACATATATAGGTATATATATATTTATCTATATAAATATATATGCATATATATATATATACATGTTTTATAAACTTCTATATTTCTATATATATATACATATATATATCTATATCTATATCTATATATATATGAATATACATATATAAGTATATGTATAAATATATATATATACATATATATATATATATATACGTATATATATATATATATACTACGTATTATTATTATTATATAATAGTTAA